TATATATATATATATATATATATTCTGCCTTTAAAATTCCCCCGTATACATTTTGTGATTCTGGGTGATTTAAATGTCAGAATTGCCCCTAATAATGGAGCATTGGTAGTCAAGTTCCCTTATTTATCTACCAAACCTTTGGCAAGTCGATTGTATGACAGACAATCTAAAGATCAGAACATCAACTATGAGGGTTCTTGTTTAGCCAGTCTTTGTAGTAAGTTAAATTTAATAATATTAAATGGTACAATGGCACATGATCATCCTGGTGAATTCATGTTTACTTGTGGGTGAGTAGCAAGCCGGGTAGATTATTGTTTAACATTGACCAATTTATTTCCCTTGGTCAGATTATTTAATGACGGCTTCAGATCAGATAGTGATCATCAACCTATAGTTTTAAGTTTGTTAAATGATAAAGATGTTCATCTGACTCAATATTATTCCACAGATGTTCTTCAGGAAGGCACATTAAATTGCAGTATTTCTTGGGCAGAACATTTAAATAATTATTTAGCTATAGTTTTAAACTCTACTCAAGCTTTAGATTTTAGATCATGTATAATAAAAGATGGGAGTTCTACAGAAAAAGTAATGTCTTTTAATATTCTAACAAAATCTAATCAGTAAAACTCTAGTATCTGGAGCATCCACTGAATCAAATCAAAGAGATACTCAACTGAGTATTACTTCCAGTTGGTTTGATGTGGACTGTGTCACAGCTAAGAAAAAATTAAGAGCTCTATATTTAGCATACAGAAAGTCTAATTTACAACAGCCTTCTTTAAGATATTATGAGTTGAAGAAAAATTGTAAGATACTAATACATCAGAAGAAACAGAAAGCAAAAAGAGATTCCTGTTCATTATTAATAAATGCTTCTCTGTGTAAAGAATCCAAAACATTTTGGAAATTAATTCCCAGGGCTTTCACTGCTCCCTCAATCCTAGATTGCTCTATACCATCCCATGGGAAAAATATTTTGAATCAATGTTTATGGAGCAGGGGCAGCCTGTTGCAAATATAGCAATATAGATAGATTAAAGTTACTTACCCTTCCACAGTGGGAACCAGTGCTAGAGGAAGGATTGTTGACCTCATATCAAAAGTAAAATGTAGATTTCAAAAAATTCCCATCTCTCAAAGATTTTGTCCCTGTAATGGTACTGACCCTGAACAGTGGATCATATTTTATTGTATTGTGAAGTTTATAAGAGTCTTCGGAAAGTTATCTGGCCTATTTTAAAATCCAAACCAGGAAGAGATACTTCTGAGTATGTGAAATTTTTTTCTTGCAGATGAAAATGTGGCAACAGACAGATTTTTAACTATGACAATAAAAACAAGGTTTTTAGTAACAATTCAATGAGTTGGAGTTTTAAGTGTACTAAGTAATATTCATTAAATATTTTATTTATGAAACTATTTTATCTAATGCCAAGGTTAGATTATATTTGTAACTTGCTTTTGGGCCTTTTGGCCATAAATAAAGCTGAAACTGATTTATAGGGATGAGCACTCCCAGAACCAGCTTGAGTATAATCACAGAATCTGTTGGGGGCAGGCAAATTCATACCTTTTCTTTCCCTCAGACATCAGCATAATCAGAATATTTAGCTGGTAAAACAGGGAAAATATCCTGCTGAAAGTGGGTTTCAGGCTTTCCAAGTGGTGAATCTTGAAGTCCACTGTATAATATACTGTACTTTCTTGGTCCCAGTAAATATGTAGACTGTGAATCTGAAGCCAAGCTAGTTCCAGTACTATTAATACTAACAATACTAACAACCTGGCCTCGTTTAAGTGAGCTTTGAAGACCTGGCTCTTCTTTTTTTGTTGGTTATGATTTTTTAAAACTGTTTTTAATATTGTATGCCATCCAGAGTCATTATGGAATCAGGCAGCTTTAGACATTTTATAAATAAGTAAATTGTAATTTTTTTAAAAAAATTAAAATTTTAAATAAAAAGTAAATTAAAATAAGTAAATTAATAAATAAATTGAGGGGAAGCTAAATAAAGCTACAAAAATTGTCATTGGTCACAAAAGGCAAGGCAAAGAAGGCTGAGTGTTAGTGCAAGAATCTGCCATCAGTCGTTTCACCCTTGCTGGGGGTTCTACAGGGTGAGTCAGCAAGGTGCATTTGTGTACAATTGCAAAGTTTACGAAACTGCCTGGGATACCAGAATATGTTAGGACTTGAAGATTTATTGCACAGACAGTTTGAGCTCAAGAGACTCAAAAGTTGGTACTGAACAGCCTGGCATGCTTCGGTTATCAGCTTGCAAATTGTTATCTTCTTTTTCCAAGGTATGGCACTTAGCCACTGCCTCATATCAGGGGAACTTAGCATGGCGATCTTGTGCAAAATGGCCTGAATATCCACAATATACATACAGTCTATGTGAGAATTGGCATTGCTGCTCTGCAGCTGACAATAAAGACCTGCTGATGGGTCTGACATCTGAAGAGTCAGATGTGCACAGGAAAGACAGAGGAAGGAGGAAATGACAAGAGTAGTTGCAACTCTCTTTTCTGTCAACAGTTTCTCACAGTTCCTCAAGTCTTCCATCTACAGCCACACAGAGATGGATTCATGCTTTCAAGATTTCTGGGGTATTTTGTTGAATTTGCTTGTTCAATATTTTGTCAGGTAGACCCTCTTTAAATTGGTTGATTAATGCTAGGTCATTCCAGTCTATATCCTGTGCAAAAAGTTGAAAGTCAGCTCAGAATATATTTGTACTCAATGTTTACCTCGTTGTCAAACACTGGATTTCAGAATTACTCATCTGGTGGGATCATCAAAGGCAATCCTCAATCCATCCATAAAATTAGTATAATTGTTTATATTTGGGCTGCTCACTTGTAGAAGAGGTATTGCCCATTTTGCTGCTCCTCCAGTCCAAAACTAAATTATAAATATAATTTGGGAGTGATCTGTGGAAAATTCTTCCTGTCTCAAGAAGATATATAATTTGATTTGACTGATGACAATCGTAAACCTTTCCAGAGTTCTACTATAATCAGGAAAGGAACCAGGCAACCATACGGAATGGTGGTTAAAGCTGCCAACTCTACAACTGTCATTATAGCTCTGGGAAGAGATGTTGTAGCAGTCATTCTTGGGCTAAGTGATATGAAGTCAGAGAATCATAACATTGGATGGGACCTTTGAGTTCATTCATTCCAACCTCTTGCCTAATGCAGGAATCCACAACTATGGCAACTACCCAAAGTTGTTCTGCAGACGTGCAGACTTTAAATTTAAATAATAATAATAATAATACAGCTTTGATAGATGGCATCCAGTCTCTCTTTAAGCACTTCCAGCAAAGGAGATTCCTTCACCTCCTGAAGCAGTCTATTCCACTGGTGAACAGCTTTTACTGTTAGAATTTTTTTCCTGAATTGGTCACTACAATATAATCAGTACACTGCACCAGTTACTACATTCTCTGGTATAGTAATAATGAAAGATTCTCAGGATTTACTTTCAACTACATGCCTAGCTAGAGGCAGTAGTAAGCGCTAGGCAACTAGTTGGAAATCCACTGTAGAAGAAGATGGAGTATAAACATTGATTGGAGTAAAAACAAGACTTTTTCCTTTTTCTTTTCCTTCCCACCTTTCCTCCACCCACATACTTTCCTCTCTTTTCTTTTCATTCTTTTTCATCTCACCAGCTGCAGCTCCAGCTACTGGTAAGGCCATAGTACACACTAAGAATGGTTCAAGAGTGGTTCCAGAGCCAGCAGCAGTAGCAAAATTGGTGGTAAAATAAATCAGCCATGGTTTGTGTTAAACTAGTGCCTGGGAGGGGGAAGGAAGCAGGGCAGGAAGGTCTTGAACATCTGTTGCTATCACTGACCCACCTTTCATTTGAGGGTTTGGGGAAGCTGCTGCTGAAACTACATCTGCTGGCATCTCTTGCCCATGGCCAGGGCTGCTCTAAGATGTATTCACTAGCACTGATGGACCACAGGTTTCCCACTCTGCTTTTGAGGGATAGAAATGAATTCTTCTGGAAAACCTGGGACTGTGGTATATTGGAGGAGTGCAGAGATCTTTGGCACCTAAAGCTTCTGTCAAGAGTTGATCACATTTAGTGTTTAGGCTGGCTATCCTAACCCTATCTCTTGGTTGTGCGTGTCAGGACAGTAGCAGAATATTCCACAATCTCATCCTCAAGTTGGAAAGGCTCCTTCAAAATGTGCAGTGTAAAAAGTCTAGATTGTTTCTGTTCTAATGGCGGCAATTTCTAAAATACTTCCAAATGTATTTTATTTATTTATTTACATTTATTGGCCACCCAACTCCAGTGGTATTCCTCAAAGAGCTCCAATCACTTCCATGCACCTTTCCCCATTCCTTTTCTCACCCCCATTTTTATTTAATTGGAGAGCCAGTGAGGGCCCAAGAGACAAATGCACCATACCAGCCATCCACTCCGGCTTTCTGCAGCTCTGAAATTCCAAAGGACAGGGATCCCATAAAATCATTTCTGCTGGTCAGATCCCAGTCCCAGATCTCCACAGATAGTCGCCTGCCCTTGTCAGACTCTTTCAACTGGCTGGGAAAAACAAAGGGGGGAGGGAGGGAACAGATTTTAAGAGATATATT